TTCTCAGGAACTCAATAAATTGATCATATATTTATCTGGAAAATGAAATAACCTGCCAAGGAAATTTTGCAAAAGAATAGTGAAGGCGACCTGCACTTTCATCTTTCAAAGTCTCTCATAAGCTGTATTGATTAAAAGAGCCATACTGGCAAATGAATAGACAAATAGGTGGATGAACCAGAGTAGAGAACAGAGAAATATATCTAACTGAGAACTTGGCGTATGTTACAGATAATGGTTGAAATCTGTCTGGATGAATGGACCATTTATTATTGTGCAAGGACAGTGAACTCATCTGTTGGGAAGAGATTAATTACATCTTCATATCACTCAGAGAAATAAGTGCATTTAAGGGGAATGCATTTCTTAAAAAACTGTAGGAGTCAAAGGAAATAGGTGGTATAGTTATAAATGGGTATTGGAATCACTCTTTTTAAATTACCATGCGAAGTCAGGAGTGCTACAAGCCTGTAATTCCAGCACTCTGGAGGTAGAAGCAGGAGGATCCAAGAGTTCAAGGCCAGTCTCAACTACATAGCAAGTTCAAGGCCAGTGTGGGCTACACAAGACACTGTCTTACAAACAATCAAACTAGAAGGCGGCAGAGGAGCTAAACTATAAAAAGTATGTAAAATAAAAATAAACTTTTCTGAGCATCGTGATGCTCAGTCCTGGCACTCAAGAGGCTGAGGCAGGAGGATTGCCAGTCCAAGGTCAGCCTGGGCTGTGTATCTAGACCCTGTCTCAAAAACAAAAGAAAAATATGAACTTAAAGCATACACTATAATAAGGAAACAATTCTAATATACAAATGGTAATGCTTAATAATATAGCGCTAGTAAAAAATACAAATTAACAAGAAAAAGTAAAAATAGAATAGAAAATAAACAATATAAACAGAACTCACATAAGAAAAATAAAACTAACCAGTAGGAGACATGAGTCATGAAAATACCCATTGAAATGAGACACTGCCACATTTCCTTATTTGGGAGCATGCATGTGTGCCATGCACACCCGTGGTGGTCAGAGGACAACTTGCATGAGCCACGTGGGTCCTGGGGATTGAACTAAGGCCATCAGGCTTGGCAACAAACGTCCTTACTGCCCTCCAAGCCAACTCACCAGCCCAAGAAACATTTTTTAAATTATAAATTAGATCAGCCTTAAACATGTTGCAATGAGGTGCCCATTAAAGTGGCCAGAATGTAAAAATGATGATGATGGTGATGATGATGATGGTGATGATGATAGTGTTAATTACTGATGAGGATGGAGAAGCCAAACAAGTGCCTTTATGTATTATTGGTGGAATATAAATCGATCCATCTTCTTGGAAGGCAATTTGGCGTTATCTATAAAATTGAAAATGCACACATACTCCAAGGTTCCCCTCGAACTTCTCACCTGCTGAGCAGCCAGACTTCCAAGGGTGTGAACACAAAACCTGCCAGGTCTCTTAAGGGACAGGCGTAGGGTTGTCCTTCCACTACACTTTATTCACCCAACCCGTCCCAGACTGGCCTAGATCCTCTAGTGACGTCAGACACAGGAACGACAAGTGAGTTAATGGCTACTGTGTTTTCAGACAGGTTGTAGCATAGGTAGTTAGAATAAGTACATCCTTTCACAGACCATGTCAGCAGCATGGTCAGGGTTTGTATGTGTTTAGATAAACTTCAGAGTACTTTATCCTTGGGGTCTGTATTTCTTCCATGACCTGGACCATTCTGAATACTGTTTTGGTTTTTTTCCCTGTGGTTTTTGGATAAGTTATATAAATATTTTTTTAAATGCACTTAGAAACCCACCACACTGAACTTACTTCAAAATCAGAGCTTTGTGAGTCCTGCTGTGTGTTATTGGGAAGTTAATTAAAACCAGTGTTTTATCAGTAGGCGGTATTGTCACACAATTAAAAATTGTGAGACTTCTACTGTGCACAGTCGACCTCACACTGCGATTCTAAGGCCGTTGCTGCCCCCCCCCCACACACACACTTTAAAGATTTCATTCTACTGAGTGAGAATGTCACCAAATGCCAGTCAAACGAGAGCTAGACTCACCTTATCACGGCACATACTACTATCTTTTAAAGATACTTTTTAAGCCTAAGATTCCTAAGTGGGTGTGATTTCAGTCCTTTCAGCAGATTCTCTCTTGGTGCTTAGTGTGGGTCCCTGGCCGTAGACCCTAAGGTAAATGTGGAAGGAGGTGTGCCTGGAAAGAACTTCCTGACTAGTGGAGCTACCTGGGTTCTGGGACAGAGCAGTACCCAGAGATGAGAAAGTTGTCCCAGCAACCAACCTGATTGGGAGCAAGTCCTAAAGACAAGGCCCAGTTGGCTGGGAAGGGACCAGGGTGGCCAGTCGGGCTTCTGGAATAGGCACACTGTCCCCCAGGAGTGGCCATTTGAGGTGAAGTTGAGCCACTGGTTTAGGTGTATTGGAGCTTATGGAGAGAGTTAGGGAGCACCAGGGTGTGACCACCCGCTAGGCCAAGCTAAAGAAGCATGCATTGGATGGCTGCAGTAAGATTTGGTGTGTTGCCTTGCTCAGCCTTGGCGCAGTGGGAGGGGCTTGAACCTGCCTCAGCTGAATGTACCAGGCTCTGCTGACTCCCCATGGGAGACCTTGCCTTGGAAGAGGTGGGAATGGTGGGGGTGGGTTGGGGAGGAAGGCTGGAGGGCAGAAGGAGAGAGGAGGAGGGTATCTGTGGTTGGTATGTAAAATGAATAGAAAATTTCTTAATAAAAATAAAAACAAATAAAAGATTTGTGTGTTGAGATTCTCTCTCCATTGGCAAGGTGGACCACTGGACAGTGGAGTGGGTGGGGGAGCAAGGCTGGAGGCTAGGAGGCCGTGGGGAGGCTGTTGCCAAGATTCACAGGAGGCGATGTGTCATGGGGCTGGAAGATGTGTCATCATGATATGCAAAATCTGCAAAGCCAAAAGGAGATTTGGTTGTATTTTTGCCTTATTTTCTAAAACTAAATAATGTTCTAAACAAAGTTTAAAAAGTAGCATGTGACACATACCCGTTCTGGTTTTGTTTGGTTTTTTGTTTTGTTCTGTCTTTGAGACAAGTTTTTTCTGTGTAGCCCTGGCTGTCCTGGAACTCAACCTGTAGACCAGGCTAGCCTCAAAACCAGAGATCCACCTGTCTTCTGTTCTGATATGTTTAACCTCACTATATTCATCCTTTTTTAAATTCATATCGTAAGGAAAACATATCCACCCTTTTCCCTCTACACAGCCCAGTCTGGGGCTTTTGTAAACTATGGGGCTGAGTCTGACGTTGTGTTCAGTTGTCCAAGTGACATTTTTGTAAGGCTGCTTTTTGTTACTATCCTAACCACCCAGCTCTTGTAAGTACCTTCCTCTGCTTTCCAAATGCAGCCTTTTCTGCAGGGACATTTGCACCTCCTGGCAGGTGGCCCCATGTCTCTTAAACACCCACGCTTTCTTCTCCAGCCCCAAAGAAGCAGCTTGTCTGGGGACTGGCTTACAATGGCTTACACTTCTTTAACTTTTGTGTATTTAATAGTACACATACAAAAAGAATAACTAGAAATGGAGCTTCTAGAACCATATGGTTCAGAGGGAAATGGTAGCTATGCATGAAGGGGCAAATAGGTTAACATAAATCATTAATAAAAAAAAACACCGGAACATAATACAGAGCTGAGAGATGGGTGTCGCCACTGTGTTACATGTTGAGATTGTAGTTTATGTAGAATACACATCATGGCTAGCCACTGAGCTTGGATACAAAGCTGTGAGGTAAACCAATAGCATTTCAGTAAACAGATCGTCTTGTACTGTGGCCATGAACCATCCTCAGTTCTTAATTGGAGCACCCTCTTTCCCAGGACCTAGTGGGTTTGCAGTTCTTGTCTTTCACTCCAAGGCCACCATTGTCTTCACAAAGGACAGTTGTAAGGGAGGTGCCAGGCCTGCCTTAGGCGAAGAAGCCCTTGTCCTTCACTATTCCAGCAGAAATACTGCTCACCCTTCTAGCACCTTCTCGGGGCATACAGTAGTGCTTCCCCCCATACCCTAAAGCACTGAGAGGCTCTGAGGAGAGTCTGCAGTCCTTCGTGGAGTAGCTGAGAGCAGCATTTCTGCTAATGGAGTCACCACAGCAGCTATGGCAGAAGTGAGCCTTTGCTGAGCACAGGTGCCATGCAAGCCACTTCGTATACATTGGCTCGTTTTGTAATAATGAGGCCAACCCTGTCGTGTGGGATGTATTTGAAGGATATTATTTGCGTTCCTTTTCTCTCTATTATAGAAATAACCCAGGTTGAATTACTTGATGCTCTAAATTTGAAATCATGGTTGATTTCTGAAGCTAATCCGGTGTAGGAGGCATTATGAATGTAGAAGAGGAGCAAATGGTGGCATGGATATGAAGTGGTAAAAATGTTCAGCTCAACCGTAGAGTGCGCACTCATCGTGCATGAGGACCTGGGTCTGATCCCCTGTGTAGAAAAAAGATGAAAGACATTTGTTTTGTTTTGTTTTGTTTGAGACAGAGTTTCTTTGTGTAGCTCTGGTTGTCCTGGAACCTGCTCTGTAGACCAGACTGGTCTCACACTCACAGAAATCCACCTCTCTCTGCCTCCAGAAATACTAGAATTAAAGACGTGCACCACCACATCCTAGTGAAACAATTTTTTTTTTTTTTTTTTTGGTTTTTCGAGACAGGGTTTCTCTGTGTAGCTTTGCGCCTTTCCTGGAACTCACTTGGTAGTCCAGGCTGGCCTCGAACTCACAGAGATCCGCCTGGCTCTGCCTCCCGAGTGCTGGGATTAAAGGCGTGCGCCACCACCGCCCGGCTGAAACAATTTTTTTTAAAACTAGCCAATTAAAAAAAAATCATTGTATGTATCATTAGTGTACAAAATGTGTCAGGAAAAGCTTTCAAAATTAGGGTACCTTTGTTTGAGGAATATGAAGGAAATTGACCACCCTATTTTTCTCCCTCTCCTTTCTCAGATACATTCCACCACTAATCTGGGGGAAAAGTGGACATATCCAGACAGCCTTGTATGGGAAGATGGGAAGGGTGAGGTCACCGCACCCTTACGGGCACCGCAAATTCATCACCATGTCTGATGGAGCCACGTCCACATTCGATCTCTTCGAGCCCTTGGCTGAGCACTGTGTTGGAGGTGAGCTAGTTTCAGATCATAGTGTTGGGGTGCCTAGAGAGAGGCAACAGCCAGCAGTGGGGAGCGATGTGTGAATGCCTGGGCCACCCATCGTCCCATTGCACTGGGGGCCATGTCATCACTCAAGTGACCAGCACTTTAACCTGCGTGTGCTGGTTCATATGTAGCAGAAATCAGTATGGAATTATAATCCTCTTGTGAAATGTAGAAGCCTATTTTTTTATGATTTATTTATTTGTATTTTATGTACATTGGTGTTTTATATGCATGTATGTCTGTGTGAGGGTGTCAGATCACCTAGGAAAGGAGTCACAGACAGTTCTGAGCTGCCATGTGAGTGCTGGGAATTGAACCTGGGTCCTCTGGAAGAGTAGCCAGTGCTCTTAACCGCTGAGCCATCTCTCCAGCCCTGTTTATTCTTAATTTCTGTTCATTGGTGTTTTGCTTGCATGTATGTCTGTATGAAGATGCTAGATCCCCTGAAACTGGAGTTGCAGACAGTTGTGGGTGCTGGGAATTGAACCCAGGTCTTCTGGAAGAGGAGCAGTGCTCCTAACTAATGAGCCATCTTTCCAGTCCTTGCTAATTTTTTTACATTGAAAGTTATTTCTTTTATTTCTTTTTGGTTTTTGAGACAGGGTCTCACTATGTAGCCTTATACTCATGATCCTTCTACCTAAGCCTCCCCTGGATGGAGGATTACCCATAATCTCCCATAATCCCACCACCCCAAACCCTGTTCATGTCAATGTTCACATACTAAGTGGATATATAAGAATCTCTTTCTCCACCCTGTAGACGACGTCACCATGGTCATCTGTCCTGGAATTGCCAATCACAGCGAGAAGCAGTATATCCGAACCTTCGTGGACTATGCCCAGAAAAATGGCTACCGGTGCGCAGTGCTAAACCACCTGGGAGCCCTGCCCAACATTGAGCTGACCTCCCCACGCATGTTCACCTATGGTAAGTAAGCATGGAGCGTGGCCAAGTGGAGCCTCTCCCGCCCCCTTTTCTGTTCTCATTGAAAGTGCCAAGCTCCTTCAGCCTTCTGCCTTGTGTCGTAAGTGTAGAATTTGTGAACATTCCACAAGAGATGATGGGGCACACGTATTAGAGCAGCCAACCTGCACTGGCATTTATGATGTCGTGTCTTGAGCAGCTTTGGAGGTGGGCAGCCATCCCAGATCCTAGGGGTTCATAAGGGAAGGTCTTGCCCAGGGTCCTTGACTGGTCTGAGAGTGCCGCTGGGAGCCAGGGAGGTCATGTTCATAGCTGGACTTACACCATTCACTATGCCATCCTGACACCTGTTCCTCCAGCTTCTACCAGGCAGCCAAAGATGTAGTAAGGTAGATTAGTGTCAGCTGAAAGAAATCTGTACACCAGCAGCTTGCTGGATTCTCAAGTTCCTTGAGGACGAGAATAGGCTGTCGATTTTACACAAAAGCTTGTGTGTGTGTGTGTGTGTGTGTGTGTGTGTGTGTGAGAGAGAGAGAGAGAGAGAGAGAGAGAGAGAGAGAGAGAGAGAGAGAGAGAGAGAGGAGAGAGACAGGATTTCTCTGTGTAACAGCCTTGGCTATCCTGGAATGCATTAGGTAGACCAGGCTGGCCTCAAACTCATAGCGATCTGCTTGCCTTTGCCTCCCAAGTACTGGGACTAAAGGCATGCACCACCACACCCAGACACACAAATGCTTCTTAACTAATAGAAATCTTGTTACTCAAAGTTCTCACCTCTGATCTGTTTCTTCTTTTTTTGTTTGTTTGTTTGTTTTTGTTTTTGAGACAAGGTCTTACTTGGTAGCACAGGCTGTTCTAGAAATTATGTTATCATCCAGACTAGGTTTGAAACTGCCTCTGCCTTATAAGTATGGGGATTTCAAGTGTGCACCACCACGCCCGGCCATAAGCTGCTCCCCCTTGATTCCCATTGACGCTCTCTTCAGATTATGTATGCACACGTAATAATAAACACGTGAAACGATGCATCTGTATGTTCACATTTGGGATGTTTATGAGCAAACTGTAATATGTTGTAATGGGAAACAACTGAACATCCTCTCTATAATCTCGCCATAATGGCAGTTTCTGATTCTTCGCTCTCCGCTTCTGTCTTTATCCATATTTACATAGTTTTAATTTAGTTGCAGACATAGTTTGGATACTAATAGTAACTACTTAAAGTCACTTTTTGGTCAGTTTAAAGCAATGTAGTCATTATATTGAATCTTTTTAAGAGCTTCATTTCTGTTTAGTTATAGTCACAGGGGGCATAGGTTTTCAGTATTTTAAATAATGTTGCTCTGAATATCATGCTCATAGTTTGGTATTTTCTTCTCTCTTTAGTATCAAGGACTGAACCCACAGTCTCCTGTGGGTTAGACGAGCAGCCTGTCACTGAGCTATAATTGTAGCTCTTTTGCATTTTTATTTTGAAACAGGGGCTCACTAAGTCACCCAGGCTGGCTCTGAACTTGATCCATATCCAAGTGGGCCTTGAACATGTGATCCTCTTATCTCAGCCTCCTAAGCAGCTGAAATAACCAGTCTGACCTTTTCATTCATTAATGTCTTAGAAGTAGATTTCCGATAGAATTATGCCGCTGGCATTTTTCCTCCATATTTGTACATATTGCCATATCATCTATGGGGTCACGTGCACTGCCATTGGTAACAGGTAAAGGTCCACTCTCAAGAGTGGGTAAAGGAAAGATGAAGTGGGTGTAGGAAAGTATAAACTTGCATGTGTGCTTTGTGGAAGGCTTAGGACTGCCCTGGAAGCGGCTCCAAGTCCATTTCCACCCTTGCACTCGCTCCTGTAACTCACACACCCCTGTTACAGGTGCTTCTGCCCAACAGTCTGGGCAGTGGTTTGAGATAGAGGTGAAAATCCAGATTTACACTTAACCCAGGTGCATGGGGAATGTGAGACATGGAGGAAGAATTGGCTCTAAAAAGCCAAACTAGGCAACTTTGAACCCAGATGAAAACAATAGAGAGTGATTATAAGATCCTGGATTAGACAGAAAGCCATCTGGATAAGTAGAAGATAATGGCATGTGACTTGGCTGCGAGGCTCACAGAGACTTAGAAACACCATCTAACAGCAAGCACACCAACACAAATCAGAAATGCCAGTGAGGGTTAAGGGAGTACAGCTCAGCTGGTACAGTGCTTTCCTAGCATGTGAGTTCAGTCTTTCACACTGCATAACCCAGGTGTAGTACTACGTGAATATCTGGAAACAGAAGCAGGAGATCAAAAGTTCAAGGTCATCCTTGACTATATAGAAGTTGAGACCCTGTCAAAAAGAAGAAAGAAGAGTAGAAGCCACTGTCATTGCCACCAGTGAAGACACCCACATCTTAGTACGTGTGCTGGTCTCAAGCAGCTAGAATCCCCTGAATGTCAAGCACAGCAAACCCAGAGACTACTCTGAGTGAAAAAACTGAAGTATGCAGAAGAACCATTTAGTCAGGGACATCAAGCCCATAAGTACAAGAGTAGAGACAGGAGCCTAGATCCAGCTGTTGCGTCCTTCAGAGTCATCTCACAGCTGGTAGAGCATCTGAGTCCCTGAGAACCAGGCATCTCGTCCCCAGAGTGCACTGGGCAGCAGATAAGGGAGATGGATGGCATTACAGACTGGAGATGAAGCTGAGAAAGAGCAGAGTAGGCTCCGGCTGGAGTGTGTTCTCAGAGAAGACCCCAGCAGGACACTGAGACCCTGGGCCAGACACTCCGGGCCAACCACAGCTGGCAAGGTGGCCTCGCTGAGCCTCATTCCAGATTCTTCAACATCAGTTTTGACGCTCTAATCGAGAAAGACAGGTGACCGAGAAGAGATGTGCCTTTTGTGGCTGGGCTGTTCCTTTGCTCTGTGTCTGTGTATCCTTTAGCTGTTGCTAGAAATCTTTTAATGGGGTTGAGCTCAAACAAGCATGACTTTCAAGGGGTATAAAAATCTAGAATTCAGATAGCTTATTGAAATCTAACATATCTATGGTGGCTTGCAAGATGCTAGAGAGAGAGAGCCAGGACTTCCTCAGCAGCTGTTTTTAGCTAAAATTAATTGATTTTTGGTAAGTGAACCCTTGGGCTGGTGAGCAAGGAGCTCTGTTTTAATAAAAGTGGCCCGATACATCACAGCAAAGCCTAGGTTTGTTGCTTTTGACAGGGAAACCGAGACAGCTTAACAGTGAGTAGGCTAGAAGTGAAAAAAACCTTCACCACAGTTAGTCACGTGGTAAATCATACGTTGTAAATTACTTTCACACCTCAGCACAAATATCTCTGTAGAGTTTACGTCCACAACAAGCCATTATTTGTTTTAAGTCATGGCTGGGCTTGACGTCGCCTGGTATCTGACGTCACTGGCCCTGACTCACTGCTCCTTCGGGGTGTACTTTTGTCACCCACTCTTTTCTTCCTTTCAGCTGAACTTGTGAAGTATTTGGTCAGACTCCCTGTTCAATTTCTGTGTGAGACAAGATAGACTAACTGATGAGTATCCCCAAAGCCCAGCAATTCAAAAGCAGAGATGTATTTCTGCTCATGCTACATGCTCATGGCATAGCCTGGGGCCCTGGGTATCCAACATTACTGTCTTCATACAAGGCCCAGGTTTGAAGAGCAGCCATCAGCTGGAACACGGCCAGCCTCACAAGGGATAGCAAAAGCCTGGCTCTAGAAGCTTCTGCCTAGAAATGACAGTGATCACTCCTGGCCATAATTTGTTGGCCAAAGTACAGAGCACTACCAAGTTTAACTTCAGTGACGTAAAGGAATGGAAAGTAGATACCGCCCAACTCTTTGCATAGCTTATCACAATTTTTAATCAGAATTGTAACTTATAAATTAACTTATAAAAGGCTTATAAAGACTTTGTATTGACAGTTCATACTTTCCTCTTCCAGGAACATGGTGTTTATTAATCTTCATAGAGAACTTCTAGTTCCCTGTAGAGGTCAATGATCATACAACTGATTCATCGGTAGAATTCCCCCTGGGAAATTTTAAAAGACACCAGAGCTGGGGCCCAGCTCCTCAGGAGCCTGTGGTCTAGCCAAGGTTTTCAGAGCCACAGACCTGAGTCTCATCTCCTGTTGCCTCTTTAGTTTGTTGTTATGTTACTGTGTTGTGTTGTGTTAGATCTTGTTTTGCTTTTCAATGTAGAAAATTTCAGAATAGGGAGAGAGGAGAATAGTAGAGTGAACTCTGGATAAACCCCAGTATACTAGCACCTGCTTCAAGACTCATGCAGCTCATAACCAGTCTTAACCAGTCTTGTTCCTTCTGTAAACCACCCCCTTCCCACATCCTCTCTCAAAGGCTATTTCAAAGCAAGTCCCAATCAGCTGGTCCTTTCATCTGTCACTACTTCAGTGTGATGTGCTGTGATACACTGTAAACTGGTCTAACTTGTCTGGATGACAAAGCCACAGTCTGGTGGCTTACCCAGCAGAAACTTATTTTCCCACAGTTACGGACCAGGAGTCTGGATCTGTGATCTCTCTCTGTGGCTTGGAGACGGCCACCGTCTTGCTATGTGTCTCTGTGGTCTTCTATCTATGCTTCTGTTGGGTACTTCTCTGTGTCCTAATGTCTTCTTAGAGGACATCAACTGTATGTGTTAGGGCCTGCCCTAACCACCTCATTTTAATGTAATTATACCTTTGAATACCATGGCATGCTGAGGGACCGGAGGTTAGAGCTTCAATATGTGGACCTGGGGAGACACCATTTATCTCATAGCCTAAACACGAGCCCAGTGTAACATCTCAATTAAAATAGCACCACTTGAGTTCACGCATGAGCAGTTCACTTCTCCCAACTGTCTTCTGTCCTGTTCCCTGTTACTGCAGGTTACTCAGTTTAGAACCCACATCAAGTCCATGTGTTGCAGTTGGCTGATGTGTTTCTTAGACCTCTTTTAAATCACCTTCCCTCACTTTTACCAGATT